CAAAATTCCAGCAGGCTTTTTTTTTAATAAATTGACATGCTGATTCTAAAATTTATATGTAAATGCAAAGGACCTAGAATTGCCAAAATAATTTTGATAAAGAAGAACAAAGTTGGAGGACTTCTTTAACCTGATTGTAAGATTTACTATAATGCTGTGGTAGTCAAGACTGCGATATTGGTGGAAGGCTAGACACACACGCAGCATCGGCGGGAGAACGGATGCACACGGTGCGGCGTAGTCACACGGGGCGGCGTAGTCACACGATGGAATGCTACTCAGCAGCAAAGGCGCCATGGGCAGCTCTGGATGCGCTGCAGAGCGGAAGCAGCCGGACACAGGAGAGCGCATGCCGTGTGGACCGGCATCTCCTGAGCACCGGAGGACGCCCTGCACCGGCACACGAGGGGACCGTTTGGGATGATGAAAATTTTCAGTGTCTTGACTGAGATGTTAAAAAGTGTTAGTCAAAACTCGTCTAGCTATGCACTTAAATTGGTAATTTTTAAAAATTTTGTTTTGATGTAGAAATTGGTACATTTTAGTATGTGTTAATTATACCTCAATAAGTTAATTTGAAGAGTAAAAAAAAATCTGCCCTTTAACAACAACATAATGAACTTGCAGAACACAGAAAACAAAGGGAAGAGCTAAAAAGCCTCCAGAGAGGAGAGAGCTCACCTACAAAGGGAAACAGACAGCAGCTGCTGAGTGGTGACTTTGGAAATAAGCGGACTGTCTTCAGGGTGCCGAGAGATGCCTGTTAGCGAGATTGAGGAGCTGTTTTTGTTTTGTTTTGTTTTTTTAATTGAGACACAGTCTCAGTCTGTCGCCCCAGGCAGAGTGCAGTGGTGTCATCATGGCTCACGGAAACCTCAAACTCCTGGGCTCAGCCTCCTGAGTAGCTGGGACTACAGGTGTGCGCCACAACTCCTGGCTAATTTTTTTGTTTTTAGTAGCGATGGGGTCTTGCTCTTGCTCAGGCTGGTCTCAAACTCCTGACCTCAAGCCACCCTCCCACCTCAGCCTCCCAGAGTGCTGGGATGACAGGCATGAGCCACCGCGCCTGGCTGGGATTGAGTTCTTTTTTTTTTTTTTTGAGACAGAGTCTCACTCTCTTGCCTGGGGCGAGTGCCGTGGCGTCAGCCTAGCTCACAGCAACCTCAAACTCCTGGGCTCAAGCAATCCTACTGTCTCAACCTCCCGAGTAGCTGGGACCACAGGCATGCGCCACCATGCCTGGCTAATTTTTTCTACATATATTTTTTAGCTGTCCAATTAATTTCTTTCCATTTTTTGGTAGAGACGGGGTCTCGCTCTTGCTCAGGCTGGTCTCGAACTCCTGAGCTCAGAACGATCCGCCCGCCTCGGCCTCCCAGAGTGCTAGGATTACAGGCGTGAGCCACCGCGCCCGGCCGGGATTGAGTTCTTAATCGTAGCAAAGTCAGAGTTGTGGCCACACTGCTCACCCAAACTTCTGCGTGTCGGCCACGTGGCAGGGTGGGTGTGTTCACATCTGTGATCTCATTTCATCTTCATAATAGCCCCGTGAGGACGGCCAACTTCCTTCTACAAAGAAACTGAGGTAGAGCTGCCCCCACGTGGTGTAGAGCATGAGGTTCGCTAGAGAGTTCCAATCTGACGGGTGATGCGACAGCCCTGTCTGACCTGGGAGGACCTGGCCTGGTGCTCAGCCCCGGTCCTCCTGCAATAAATGTCTTCGCTGGCTGTCCAGCCCCACTTGGGGTCGCAGAGGCCCCTCCCCTGCTGGCCCTGGGAGGCAGGTGGAGCCACCGTGACGGGTCAGGCTCAGCGCAGTCCCTTCTCTCTCGCCACGGTTGCGACCTTCCTGTTTGTCCCAGCCCCGAGCAGGGCATGTGTCTGTGTGTCGTTCCCTGTGTCTTTGCTGCCACCCACGCAATGTCATCCCCATTGTGGACGAGGAGGCTGGGACAGGGTGATGTGCCCACAGTCACACAGCCAGGCCCTGGCCACGCCAGGAAGCAAGCCTCCTGTCTCTCGAGGTCAGGGGCCTGCCCCTCCGCGTCGCGTTCCCCACTGTCTGGTGTCGGTAAAGAGGCCGTCACCAGCCCCAGCCAGAGGAAGCGAATGGCCCCCTGCCCAGGCCTCTGAACTGCCACAGACAACTGTGTCACGTCCAGACAACAGAGACATCTGTCCCCAAGGTCCCCAAACAGTCTTCAACCTCCATCAAGTCCTCGCATCCTGCTGATTTCTCGTCTTCCTTGCCCTCCGTCATCCTGGTCGTTTACAGAGGACGTGGGTTTGGTCTTTCCCTAAGGTCTCTGGAAGGACCCGGAGGTGCCAGTGGGGAAGAAACCGAGGGCCGTCGGCAGGCTGAGAACGTGAGTCTGCAGGTGAGGCCGCGGCACACCTGGTGGCTCTGGGAGACAGACGGGTTCCACGTACGTACCCACTGGTCATCGTGCAGCACTCGGCTGCCACCGAAGGACAGGCACTTGGCTTACGCAGGAGCCCACGAACGCTAAGCCTGTCCCCGCTGTAAGGGTGGAGACGGCCGTGGGTGCGAGCCGTTCCGGTTCTCTGTGCAGGCGCTTTCTCTTCTGTCTGCTCCGGGAAGCCCTGAGCTTCCCTCACGCTCGGCTTCCTGCTGCTGCTTCCGCTTGGCCGGCGCAGCACTCTGGGCGCGCTCTGAGGGAAAGGTGCTGCGTCACTCGCGCCTGGGTTTCCCTCTTCCCTGCTCCAGACTGCGAGCTGCTTGAGAGCAGGGATCGCGTGCAGGCGCTCTCTGTCCCCAGCACCTAGGAAGAAGGCTGGCAGCACAGGTGCTCAGACAGCGATGGGGCCCGTGTGTGTGACAGCTTCAGTGACTGAGGTGATGCCACCACAACCCCCACGCTGCTGTGTGTCCTGCCAGGGCTCGGGGATGTGGGGACAACCGCCTACCCGAGGGCAGCGCCCTGCTCGCACCTGTTGGTGGGATTGTGCTGGCAGCGTCCCCTCACCACCCGGTCCTCGTAGTTTTATCCTAAACAGAGGGAGGTGCTCTTCTGGCACCTGTGTGTCTGTGCGTCCAATGTGGTCCATTTACAGACTTACTTTTACATCATTTTTATTATAAAAAATACTTCTTTGTATCTTGAAGTTTTCACCTATATCATTCTTTGTTGCTATATAGTTTTTAATGATTTTCATTCTTTAAAAGCATTTACAGAATACAGTGGATGTACCCGTGTCGGTTCCCTCTGTATGAGGCACTGAGGTTGTTTCCACACTTTTGCTCTTGTGAACAACATTTGCTACCGTTTATAGCACTGGGACTGGCATCTCAGTGTGGAGTCCCCGGGTCAGGGAGCACAGGCAGTCGTGAGGTTCCTGGCGGGTTGCGCCGTCCTGCCTCCCCACGGCCTGTGTCGGTGAGCACCGGCCCCACCAGTGTCCTAGGACTGTGTCCCCACACCCTCTGGCCAGATGCTTCTCCTGAAGTCGAGGTAGACATGGGTCCTGAGAGCTTCAGACCTAAGAGCTGGGCTGGGGATTTTTAGTAAAACTGCCTCTTTCCAGCTCTGACCATCAACTTTCCCAATCCTGCAGGAAAAACCACAGCCCTCGGAGAGCCGCTGGCTGAAATATCTGGAAAAGGACTCCCAAGAACTGGAGCTGGAAGGAGTGTGTTTCGAGAGACAGCCCTCACCCAAAACAGAGCCAGACGGCCCCTTCGGTCAAGACCTGCCGAGGAAAAGGTGCCACGCGCGCCTCCCATCCAGCCCGGTCCAGTGCTCACGCTGCCTTCTGCAGTGGGGACTGGCGAGCCACTGCCAGCCATCGCCAAGTGGGGGCACCTTGGTGGCAAGCGCCAGCAGGCAGGAAAACTGGGGCAGCCACTGTCACTGCCAGCCCCTCGGCCTGGCCGGGCACGGGCTGGGCAGGCGCCAGCGTGGGCACCCTTTACAATGCCCGCGTAATTCTGACCGTCTCGGACTGGACTGACCTCAGGGAAGAATTTAAGGGCAGGGCTGAGAAGGTGAGGAATGACCAGAGTAGCTGATGGAGCTGGGAACTTTTGGCCTAGCACAGACCTCACTCTCTGGAAAGTTCTGCTCCAGGCTTCCTCTGTGCATTGCAGTGAGTTTTCTGCAGTGAGTTTTCTGGAGAGATGGCCTTAGGCTAAGGATCTCCAGCGATCTCGGGTAGTGCTTTTGGGAGGTAGATTCTAGTTTCAGATAAGAACATTGTAACAACTACGCGCTACAGAGCAGCGAAACAGATTGCCTGGCCTGGGCTGGCCTAGGTGGCGTTGGACAGCCCGGGCTGCCAGCTGGGAAGGGGGAGGCATGAGAAGGCTCCCACCTGAGCTACTGGGCCAGGTGACCATGGAGTCAGGCTCTGGGGACACCGTCTGACAACAGGACTGTTGACAGCACTGTCCCTCTGCCAGGAAGTGGAGCCAGAGCACAGTCCAGCCTCCATGCAGCCTCGATGTCCCGGGCTTGGGCGACTCTGAGGTCACCTTGGAACCCCAGGTAGGTGATGGAGGACAGTATTTCTCTGTGGTCCCAGTGACCACTGAGCATCCATGGGACTTTTTTATTGTCTTGTCTTGTTAACAGTTGGTGGAGTGTAAGGTTTATGCCCCCAAAAGCCCAACTTCTGCCTGGGGTTCTTGTTGTTTCTTTCTGAAGCACCTCCTCTGTGGTCTGTACCCCATTTCCCTCCCGTCCTCTGTGATGTTAACTCAAGGCCCGAGGGCATCCTGACATCTTGGCGTCAGCTACCGTTGGCCAACAGGGATTTTCGAGTCAGGAGGGGCACCCGTGTCCAGCGGTAGTCGGAGGGCCCGCCCCGGACTTCTGGGAAAATGCGTCCCTCCACACCTGCCCGTCCCCGGGTGTGCCCTCTGCACACTAGACCCTCTGCGCTTGGGATGTCTTGTTCTTAATACTTCCGCCCTGGCAGGCCCCGTGCGCATTCAGCTGAGCCAGGGGCCCTGCTGGGCGTCGGTCGCTGGCAGCCAAGGTCTGCCTTGGTCAGCCTCAGACCGTGCACGGAGCGCTGGCTCACAGCCAGGAGGCAGAGCGCAGACTTTGGTGTTGGCACTAACTGGCTTTGTGACCCCAGGTAAGTATGTGGCCTGGACTCTCCAGATCACAGGATGATCACAGTTGCTGAGTCTTTACCACGTGCCAGTCCCTGTACGTTGTGGTGTTTCCTGATCCCCACAAGCCCGTTGCTCTGTCTTAAAGGTGAGGAGCTGAGAGGCTCGCGAGGTTGCGTGAGGGCACAGCCAAGCCAAGCGCAAGCATCAGCATGGCGGAGCCTCTTTCACGTCGCCCGGGTGGCGGGGCTGCAGGGACCTACTCCGTCGTTGCCTTCAGATCCTTTGTCGGCCGTGAAACCAAGTTTCACTGGATCTTGGGTTCCTGAGGCAGAAGTCAGGCCCCTGCACTATGTCCTGTCCCCCGGGGAGCTCAGTGCAGCCGCTGCCGCAGCTCACAGTTCCGGGAGCCGTCCCATCCCGTTGCAGGTGGTCTCCAGGGCCCCCGCCCCCGGCTCTCACCTCCTCTCAGGCAGCCCGACCTGATTCCGTGGTCCCCGGGCGAGGGACCCCCTGATGACAGAACATGTTTTTGTGGACAGCCAGGCCGTGGGCTTTAGTGGAGGCACTGGGGGTGAAGAGTGTTCATTCACTTCGCTTCGCTGACCCTCAAAGCCTGTCCCCCGCCTGCTGGCCTGCAGACCCGGCGCGCCTCAAGCACGGGCAAGGTTGCCACAGGGCAGCCCTGCGGCCCGGGCACTTACAGATGTTCTCGCTAACGAGGGAGTGGCCGTCCTCTCCATTTCTATTTTAGGGCTGTGCGGGCCTGATCGGGAAGGTGAAACAAGACAGCCTCTGCCTCCAGCACTCTGTGCGCTGCAGCGCCCGGGAGCGCGGTGCCGGTCTGTGGAAATTACGGAGTCCTGCCCAGCACGTCAAAACCTCACCTTCTGGATGGGCCCCATTTCTCCTGTCAGCGGGGGACAGCTCACATGTGGACACAGAGCCACAGAGGCCACCACAGAGGGGCCCCAGGCCAGCCGGTCCGGCCCAGGTCGAGCAAGGGACCCGCAGGGCCCAGACCCCAAGGGAAGGTCACCTCGGGAGGCTCGCCACCACTGTCCAGCCTCCTGGGCCCACACACACCCCCACATCTGGATCCGAGAGGCCCTGCAGGAAGGCCCCTGGGCAGTTGTGGGGTGTGGGGACTCCTCAGGCAGAGAGTGGGTCCCTGGTCCAAGAGGCACAGAAGCCCCCACCCCTGCGACTGTGTGACCTCTTTGCAACTGGGGAGGACTTTGATGATCTGTGAACCGAAACTCGCGTGTTGCTAATTGAGGTACATTTATTGCACGAGTCCCTTTCCCCTGGACTCCTATGCCAGGGAAACGCGGTTCCCCCAGGTGCTTTTTAACAGGCCTGATGTGCAAGAAGGACCAACAATAAACGTCACTGTCTAACAAATCATTTCTCTTGTTGCAACTTACAGTAAGGACAACATTGTCGATTAAAGTGCGGATTCCATTTAATTACAGATTGTTTACAAATATGGAAACAGGATGGCTACAAAGGGCTCTTCTCACTTTAAAAGCAGCTGACGTGCTGGTGGTTAGGACACGAGGGCCAGCACTCGGTGAACAGCATCCCTTCCTGGTTCCCGGTGGGGAGCCCACGGCACCGGCTGCCCCATCCTCCCAGCTCTCCTCCACTCCCTGACCGCACGTGGGCTGTACCTCACCTAAAATCAGAATATATCAGGTTCCTAGCAGAAAATCAACTCAGTACTATTAGTTACTTAAAAAAAAAAAATCAGAAGGCCATTAGGCAAGACATCCTGGGCTGCTGGTGCGGCCCCGGCAGGGGAGGGGCAGGGGTGCGCTGTGGCGAGCCTTGGCAGCCGCTCCCGGAGCCCAGGGCCAGGGCCTGCTCCGGCCTGGGAAGCTGCAAGGAGCCGGGGCACCCGGGGAGGCCAGGCTCGTTCCCCAGACATCAACCCGCACGCTCGGACTCGCCCCTCACGTCACTTGTTCTGCTGCCTGAATGCCTTCATGCACCCCACCCCGATTCTGGAAGAAGAAGGCAGAGAAGCCGGCCCCTGTGGAGGCCTGCGTCATACACTAGCGCAACACAACTATGGGACCAAACAGGAGGACGCAGAGGTGGACGCAAGCGGTCACAAGGGCGGTGGGTGCTTCGAGTACTGGATGGCGTCCAGAGCAGCTCCGATGTCGTAACTCTTGGTCTGGAGCAGCCTGGTGAGCCAGCCGCCTTCGTCGGAGAAGCCCATGGACAGCATCTGGGACAGGGACTCGATCAGCCTCGGGTCAGCCTCTGCCAGAAACGACAAGAAGCCATGAGCGAGCGTCGCTGAGCCCGCGCGACCCCAGGCACAGACGGTGGCACCCTGGCCTGCAGCCAGGAAGTCCCAGTGCCCGCCAGGGGCCAGCCCTGCCCCGGGACCTCAAGCCCTCCCAGGAATCCTCAAGAGGCAGCGGCCGGCAAGTGTTTTCTGTCCCTTTCTGGCTGGCTGTGCGGGCTCTGCCACCGCAGCACAGAGCAGCCGCCCGGCATGGAAACTAACGAGCGTGGCCGTGTGCCAATAAAACCTCGGTTGTGGACAGTGAAATTTGAATTTCATCTAATTGTCACATGTCGTTTCATTTAAAGATGTAAGAACCACTCTGGGCCCACAGGCCATAGTTTGCGACCCCCTGCTCTGAGGCTCACGGATAGTCATTGGACAGTGTTTATGTCACTGCCACATGACAGTAAGGAGCCCAAGCTGGTGTCAGCTGTCTCTTCTATTCAGAGTGACTCTGACTGCCAGTCCCCCCCCACCCTGCTGCTTTCCAAAGCACCCACTTCACATGGTGGCTGCCTGCCTGGCTCCTACAGGGATCTTGGCCGTGACCCCTGCTCTAAGGTCAGCCCTTGCCGTGAGGAAAGCGAAGGCGGCTGAGTCCAGTCAGTACCACGAGCCGGTGCCAAACCCAGCGGTGCCTTCGGGTCGCACCTGCCTCCTCCATTCCTGCTCTAAATCTGAGCACATCTACTCTCGCTCAGTGTGAACTCCGAGGACAAAGCCTACTGCTGATCTCGGCCTACAGACGAGCCCCATGGCAGAGAAGACCCGTCCTCTGATCTGATTGCTGAGATCGGAAGGCGACAGGATGCTCTGGAAGAGAACGGCAGGGACACAAAGCCTGCGACATCGCTTGCCTGGTGGAAGATGTGGGTACAGGGCAGCTTCCTTCAGCCCCGTGGGTCCCTCCCGAGAAGGGTCCAGAGAGCTTGGCCCTTGCGAGTCCGGCATCTGCAGAGACTGGAGTTCGCCTGTCGACGGGTCCACTTCTTTTGAAGACAAATGGGTCCAGTCATCGTCTCCTCCAGAACAGTTGTCAGACTCCATCTGTTCCTGGAACAGAACTCGCCGTGAGCACACAAGGGACGCGGCAGCAGGCCAGCCTGGCCACAGCAGGCGGTCCCGGAGAGGCAGGGTGTGGGCGGGGGAGCGCGTGCACGGGCCGGGCCGCGGCAGGGCTGGCGAGCAGCTACAGCGACGCAGAGCCACTCACAGAGACCAGGACGCTTTCCCGACAGAGTCCTAGCAGAAGGTTCGCAGGGACTCAAGTGCCACACACATAACCGCAACAGCACCAGGGACCCTTGGCCGCACAGGTGCTGGGGATGAGGCAGGGGTGTGGGGCAGAGCGCGCGAGGCAGCGACAGGTGGTAGGAGGGGACAGGCTTGCCTCGGGCTGCCCCACAGACTCCAGCTCGATCTGTTTCATCTGCTCTGCCAGAGCCTGCTCGGTGATCTGGGCGCCCCCCTCCGGCTGGCTGGGGCCGGGAGAGCAGCTGCTTGGCTGAGAGCTGCTCTTCTCTCCGGCGCCGGAAGTCTCTGGAGAGGTGGGCATCAGGCGGCTTCTTTTCCCTCCGTGTTCCACGTCAATGTCCACTTCAATGCCTAGAGGCGAGGAAGAAACGGAAGCTCTGAGTCCCCCAGAGGATGTGCCTGCAGGCGGGGCCTCGGCACGTGGGGGCCGCGGGCTCACAAAGCTCTCCCGTTCAGTCCCCGCAGCCTGAGCGTGGGGAGGCGGTGCTCACGGGAGGGACACAGGCGCTGGGTTCCACTCCGCCTGGCCCAGAGTTGGGCAGCCAGCACGGGACCCGCCAAGACACAAAGCCGTGAGGCAGAAGGTCCCCTGTGATCTTCGGGATCCCAAGGGCTCTCCCAGTATCCCGGCCCCAAATCTCCCTGGCTTCTGCAAACATCCTCCCAATATGTCCACCATGTCGGACCTGTCTCTTCCTCCAGTTTAGTGAAACATTAACCTCGGCTGACATCCAAGGTCAGCTTCTGAGCCACAAAGTCCACAGAGGCCTGTTTACGCTCACCCTGCAGAACGACAGGCTGCACAGCAGGCTGGCCAAGCCCTTCGAACAGGGCGAACCGAGCACGGCAGGTGGCCAGGTGCCCCAGCCGCGGCGAAAACCAAGTGGCACACCATGCTGGCCCGCAGGGCTTTGCACTATGCCAAGTATGCTTTTTTTGTTTTTACTTCAATAGATTTAAGGGTACGAGTAGTTCTGGTTACAGAGATGAACTGACAGTGGAGAAGTCTAGGCTTTCAGCGTGCTGATCACCTGAACAGCGAATGCCGCGCCCCGCAGGCAGGCGCAACATCCGAACACGAGTGTCCCGCTCGGGGACATGGGCAGCCCTGCCCGCAAAGCAAGGCCCTGAGGCTGGCAGCGCGGGCGGCCTGCGCGTCTCCAGGCTCACGCACACGCGCCAGGGACCCACAGTAGAATCACCTGTGCCGGTTTTTAAATTCAAATTTATCCAAGAACTCACACCCACAGCTTAGCGCCAACAGAGGCTTCTGGAGGCTTTGGTGCATACTCCCGGACTCCCCCACTCCTGCCCGCACCCCAGAGCTCCCCTGTGGCTCCCTCAGCTCCCACTACTCTTGCCTGCTGCTGTAGTTTACATCTGTTTGTTTCTTACTCTAGACCAATATTTACCTCCCCTTCCCCTATCTTTTTAGAAAACTCAATTTTTTGGTTAAAGCAACATTCGGTGTTTATGAAGTACCACTACATAAATATTGTTCTTTGGGCCAAGCACAGTGGCTCATGCCTGTAATCCTAGCACCCGGAGAGGCAGAGTCAGTAGGATCCCTTGAGCTCAGAAGTTCGAGACCAGCCTGAGCAAGGCCGAGACCCCATCTCTACTAAAAAAAAAAAAGAAAAAAGAAAAATATTGGCCCA